AAACACACATGTCCAATTCAGACACACATGTGTGTACACGTGGAACACACATACGTATACGACTGAAACAGTATACATTCACCTGCGGCACACGCATAAATGTGTTGAGCTGGAAAACAAACATGTGCTTCTTGGAAAGCACACACACATGCGCAAACGTGGAACGCACATATGTGTTCACTTACGACACGCTAATGCGTTCACGTGGAACACACGTGTGTGTTCACTTGGAACACAATGAAACGCGTGTCCAATTCAGACACACATGTGTGTACACGTGGAACACACATGCGTTCACCTGGAACACAAAGACGCGCAATTAAAGCACACATGTGTGTACGCGTGGGACACACATATGTATACCACTGGAACACAAACATGTGTCCACCTGGAACACCGCGTGTGCGATTAAAGCACACATGTGTGTACATGTGGAACACACATATGCGCACACGTGAGCAAACATAAATGCTCACCTAAATCGCACACACATGCGCGCACCTCGAAAACAATCATGCGTTTTCTGGAGCGCATACATGTGCACACCTGGAGAGCAAATATGTCGTCAGATGCCAAAAAAAGTTCACCTAGCACATACTAATGTGTTCACGTGAAACACACATCTGTTCACCTGGAACACAAACACGTGTCCAATTGGAACACACATGTGCGTACACGTGGAACACACATATGTGCACACGTGAACACGCATATGTGCACACGTGAACACTCACATATATGTGCACCCGGAACACACACCCGTGTGCTCATCTGATAACAACCATGTGTTCTCCTGGAACACAAACACGTGTCCAATTGGAACACGCATGTGTGTACACGTGAACACACATATGTGTACACGTGGGAGACGCAAATGCGCACACGTGAACACACACACACATGTGCACACGTGGAACACACACATGTGTACTGCACATGTGAACACACACATTTATGCGCGCGCGGAAAACACAGACACACACGAGTGTTCATCTGATAACAAACACGTGGTCTCCTGGAACACAACCGTGTGTCTAATTGGAACACAACCGTGTGTACACGTGAACACACATATGTGTACACGTGAACACACACATATTATATATATATATGCGCACCCGGAACACACACACACACACGTGCGTTCATCTGAAAACAAACATGTATTCACCTGAAACACAAACACGTGTCCAATTGGAACAAACATGTGTGGACACATGAACTCACAAATGTGTACATGTGGAACACACATATGTGTGCAAATGAACACACATACATGCGCACGCGGAGCAGACACACACACACACGCGTTCATCTGATAACAAACATGTGTCCTCCTGGAACACAAACACGTGTCCAGTTGGAACGCACATGTGTGCACGCGCGAACACACAATGTGTGCCGTGAACACACATACAAAAAAGTGCACGCGGAGCAGACACACACACACGTGTTCATCTGATAACAAACATGTGTTCTCCTGGAACACAACCGTGTGTCTAATTGGAACACAGACGTGTGTACACGTGAACACACATATGTGTACACGTGAACACACACATATATACGCGCACCCGGAACACACACACACGAGTGTTCATCTGAAAACAAACATGTGTTCACCTGGAACACAAACACGTGTCCATTGGAACACACATGTGTGTACACGTGAACACACATATGTGTACACGTGGGAGACGCAAATGCGCACACGTGAACACACACATGTGCACACGTGCAACACACACATGTGTACTGCACATGTGAACACACACATTTATGCGCGCGCGGAAAACACAGACACACACGAGTGTTCATCTGATAACAAACACGTGTTCTCCTGGAACACAACCGTGTGTCTAATTGGAACACAGACGTGTGTACACGTGAACACACATATGTGTACACGTGAACACAGCACACGTGGAACACACACATGTGTACTGCACATGTGAACACACACATTTATGCGCGCGCGGAAAACACAGACACACACGAGTGTTCATCTGATAACAAACACGTGTTCTCCTGGAACACAACCGTGTGTCTAATTGGAACACAGACGTGTGTACACGTGAACACACATATGTGTACACGTGAACACACACACATATATATGCGCACCCGGAACACACACACACGTGCGTTCATCTGAAAACAAACATGTATTCACCTGAAACACAAACACGTGTCCAATTGGAACACACATGTGTGGACACGTGAACACACAAATGTGTGCACGTGGAACACACATATGTGTGCAAATGAACACACACACATGCGCATGCGGAGCAGACACACACACACACGTGTTCATCTGATAACAAACATGTGTCCTCCTGGAACACAAACACGTGTCCAGTTGGAACGCACATGTGCGCACGCGTGAACACACAATGTGTGCACGTGAACACACATACAAAAAAAGTGCACGCGGAGCAGACACACACGCACGTGTTCATCTGATAACAAACATGTGTTCTCCTGGAACACATACACGTGTCTGATAAGAACACACATGTGTGTACACGTGAACACACATATGTGTACACGTGCAACACGCATATGTGCGCACGTGAACGCACATATGTGTACATGTGGAACACACATATGTGCACACGCGACACACACACACATATATATATATATATGCGCGCCCGGAACACGCACACACACACATGCGTACACCTGGAACACATATGTGTGTATGTCTGGAAAGCACATTTCTGTTCACCTGCAACACACATATGTGTTCACCTGGAACCCATATATGCGCTCACTTGGAACAGGCATTGTGTTCACGTGCGACACTGGTGCAGACCTGGATCACACAAGCATGTTTAACCAGAACAAACTTCTGTGTTGACTTGTAACACACATATGTGTACACATGGAACACACGTGTGTGCACATGTGGAGAAACATGTGCAACACAAATGTGCAACACACATGCGTTCACCTGGACAACAAAAATGTGTTCACATGGAATTTACATTTCCTGCACGCCTGGGCGACACATAAATCAAGTTCCCGAAGCCGGCTGTGAGGCGCTATTCCATGGGGCTCTGCCTTGAACAACGCTTGTGTTTTATATGCGTGTTCCAAGTAGGAAAATAGTGTTCGTGTACGATCAATCTAGCTTTTTTGCAACACATTGCTAGCGCGCGAGCCTGCTGCTGCTGCTGCTGCTACTACTGCTAGTACTATCAGTATCGGATGCGTCTCCAGCAGTTACAGGCTTCAGCTTAGCAAAAGCTTTCCGGCGCATTGCGCTTCTTTCTCGCTTAGCTGCACAGTGTCTTTCGTATCGATTGCTAAAGTGCTTTGATCGTATTGTGGCAACTCTTCGTATCGATTCAGTAAAGCATTTGCTTTCGCAGGGAAATACGCAACCCAATTCTTCCGTATGCTCGGTACAAGGCATCCCTGCCGTCTTGCCTCAGCCGTTGTTTCTCCCCTTTGTCCAGCAAATCGCACTCCATGATAATTGCATGCGAGGAGAGCGGAAGCAAATTTGGATTGAAGCGTAACTGGGAACCGGTCACAGCTGACCACTGCGCTAGCGCCTTGCTAGCGCGCGGCTAGCGCGGGTTCGCCGTATTTTTTGGAGTCACGGCGACCATCTGTGTGGATTTGACAAATTAAGGCCACGTAAGATGAAGGTAAACGTGCGGGCTGGCTTCAAGTACTAAGTAAGAACTGCAACATTACACCCTTGAAAGCCACGCAAAGCCCATCGCGGCAACCCACGCGCCAACTCTTGGAAACCAAGATCACCGAAGACCCTAGCGCAAACCAAGCGCCATCCTAGCGCCTCCAGTGGGGAGCGGGCAATCCATTGGTATTTGCAGGACTCCGCTTTGTGTGAATGAAAAACTGCACAAAGTGACTGCGACGGTGGCCTCTGTAGACTAAACCCCCTTACTAGGAATTTTGACCGGATCGCATATGTGTTTTATCAGAACAATCGCATGCTTTCACCTGGAACACAAACATGTGCTGACGTGGAACACACTCATGTGGTCACATGCAAAAAGTGCGTGTTCACTTGGAACGCGCCGATGTGGTCAGCTGGAACACACCAAGAACACACAATCATTTACTTGAAGCACTCGTACGTGCATCCGCAGCATGCTGCCTGTGGCTTGATCAAGCGCACGCGCGCGCTCAAACACACGTTTCTGAGCCTCAAACACACATGCGTGCCCGCGGAATACACCGCGAATGACCAGGGAGCCGTGCCAGGCATCCAGGCTGGGGGACAACAAGAAGGAGACAAAGGGAGACAAATGAACCCGTCCGCCCGGAGAGCCGTGCCAGACATCCAAGCTGGGAGACAAACGAATCCGTCCACCCAGAGAGCCGTGACAGGCATCCAGGCTGGGAGACAACCGGGGCCAAATAAAGGGAGACAAAGGGAGACAAATGAATCTGTCAGGCAAATGAAGGGAGAGGAACCCGTCCGCCGGGAGAGCCGGGACAACCCCAGGTGCCAAGAGCACCACTGGGTATCTCGGCGTAGGTTCGTTGAACATCATCAAAGAATCGATAGACGATTTAACTCCAGCGTGATTCACGTTTGTTTCACCGGGGGGTTAACAGAGCCTTCTCGTAGCTGAAGCCGTGCACCGCAGCGCACCGCTCTCGTCAGCTCGGGACTCCAAATGCGAGCAAGGACAGAGAGAGGCCGCAACTGATAACGAGGCACTGAACGAACAGACAGGGTGTAGCCAACGATAGACAAGGAAGACGACCCACCACGAGCCCAAGCAAAATCGAAGTCCAGATGAAGGGCAGACAGAGGACCCTGTCCCCAACATCCACAAGACAAGGAATGACCGAAGCCAGGGCCGAAGTCTCCCTTCATTTGTCTCCCGTTGTCTCCCAGCCTGGATGCCTGGCACGGCTCTCTGGGTGGACGGGTTCATTTGTCACCCTTTGTCTCCCTTCATTTGTCTCCCGTTGCCTCCCAGCCTGGATGCCTGGCACGGCTCTCTGGGTGGACGGGTTCATTTGTCTCCCTTTGTCTCCCTTCATTTGTCTGGCACGGCTGGGCTTTGTTGCCCTTCATTTGTCTCCCGTTGTCTCCCAGCCTGGATGTCTGGCACGGCTCTCCAGGCGGACAGATTCACTTGTCTCCCTTTGTCTCCCTTCATTTGTCTCCCGTTGTCTCCCAGGCTGGATGCCTGGCACGGCTCTTTGGGTGGACAGTTTCACTTGTCTCCCTTTGTCTCCCTTCATTTGGCTCCCGTTGTCTCCCAGCCTGGATGTCTGTCACGGCTCTCCAGGCGGACGGATTCACTTGTCTCCCTTGGTTCCCCTTCATTTGTCTCCCATCTCTGTGGGTGGACGGATTGATTTGTCTCCTTTGTCTATTTGTCTCCCGTTGTCTCCCAGCCTGGATGCCTCTCTGGGTGGACGGATTCATTTGTCTCCCTTTGTCTCCCTTTGTTTGTCTCCCGTTGTCTCCCAGCCGGATGCCCCTCTGGGTGGACGGATTCATTTGTCTCCCAGCCTGGATGTGTGGCACTCACGCTCCGCGGTTTCCTTCAGGGAGACAAATGAACCCCTCCACCCCAGCCGTGACAGGCGTCCAGGCTGGGAGACAACCGGGGCCAAATAAAGGGAGACAAAGGGAGACAAATGAATCTGTCAGGCAAATGGAGGGAGAGGGAGACAAATGAACCCGTCCGCCGGGAGAGCCGGGACAACCCCAGGTGCCAAGAGCACCACTGGGTATCTCAGCGTAAGGTTCGTTGAACATCCTCGAAGAATCGATAGAGGATTTAACTCCAGCGTGATTCACGTTTGTTTCACCGGGGGGTTAACAGAGCCTTCTCGTAGCTGAAGCCGCGCACCGCAGCGCACCGCTCTCGTCAGCTCGGGGCTCCAAATGCGAGCAAGGACAGAGAACGAACAGACAGGGTGTAGCCAACGATAGACAAGGAAGACGACCCACCACGAGCCCAAGCGAAATCGAAGTCCAGATGAAGGGCAGACAGAGGAGGACCCTGTCCCCAACATCCACAAGACAAGGAATGACCGAAGCCAGGGCCAAAGCCGAAGGCAAACCAGACCCCGCCAAAAGGACAGAACCGCGGGAAGTGAAGGAAACCGCGGAGCGTGAGTGCCACACATCCAGGCTGGGAGACAACGGGAGACAAATGAATCCGTCCACCCAGAGAGCCGTGCCAGGCATCCAGGCTGGGAGACAACGGGAGACAAATAAAGGGAGACAAAGGGAAACAAATGAATCCGTCCACCCACAGAGATGGGAGACAAATGAAGGGGAACCAAGGGAGACAAGTGAATCCGTCCGCCTGGAGAGCCGTGACAGACATCCAGGCTGGGAGACAACAGGAGCCAAATGAAGGGAGACAAAGGGAGAAAAGTGAATCTGTCCACCAAAAAAACAGTGCCAGGCATCCAGGCTGGGAGACAACGGGAGACAAATGAAGGGAAACAAAGGGGTGCCAGACATCCTGGGAGACAAAGGTAGACAAATGAACCCGTCCACCCAGAGAGCCGCGCCAGGCATCCAGGCTGGGAGACAACGGGAGACAAATGAAGGGAGACAAAGGGAGACAAATGAACCCGTCCACCCAGAGAGCCGTGCCAGGCATCCAGGCTGGGAGACAACGGGAGAAATCAAGGGAGACAAAGGGAGACAAATGAACCCGTCCACCCAGAGAGCCGTGCCAGGCATCCAGGCTGGGAGAGAACGGGAGACAAATGAAGGGGACAAAGGGAGACACATGAACCCGTCCACCCAGAGAGCCGTGCCAGATCCAGGCTGGGAGACAACGGGCGACAAATGAAGGGAGACAAAGGGAGACAAGTGAATCTGTCCACCCAGGCATCCAGGCTGGGAGACAACGGGAGACAAAAGAAGGGAGACAAAGGGAGACAAATGAACCCGAGCCGCGCCAGGCATCCAGGCTGGGAGACAAATGAAGGGAGACAAAGGGAGACAAATGAACCCGTCCACCCAGAGAGCCGTGCCAGGCATCCAGGCTGGGAGACAACGGGAGACAAATGACAAAGGGAGACAAATGAACCCGTCCACCCAGACTGGATCATCCAGGCTGGGAGACAACGGGAGACAAATGAAGGGAGACAAAGGGAGACAAGTGAACCCAGGGAGACAAACGAACGCGTCCACCCAGAGAGCCGTGCCAGGCATCCAGGCGGGGAGACAACGGGAGACAAATGAAGGGAGACACAGGGAGACAAATGAACCCGTCCACCCAGAGAGCTGTGCCAGGCATCCAGGCTAGGGCTTGGCAACAGGCGAGCCACCTTAAATGAATTTAGAACCCCTCACAGTAAACTGTTTGGGGAAATATGTATGTATAGCTTTGATATCTCTACATGTATACACGAGACGCGCCCCCAAAGGCCCTGGCCTTGTCGGCCCCCTTGCGCTGGTACGCGAAGTAGCCCACGGCGGCAAAGATGCCCACGGCCACCGCCAGCAGCACCACTCCCTTGGCAGGCCTCGCCACGCTTCTTTCGTTCGCTTCTTTTCTCGCCTGCTTGTCTTGCTTGAGCGGGGGAGAGGGGTCAAACAAAATTGATTTTTACTTTGGAGCGGGGGTCTTCTGTCCCTGATTTGTTGTTGGTGTTTGTTGTGGATTTAAAAAATCTTAACTTTGGGAGTGGAAGGGGTTAGTTGGTGTACTTGATCAGAAGTGATTGGAGGGAGGGAGGGAGGGAGGGAGGGAGGGAGGGAGGGAGGGAGGGAGTTGTGGATTTAAAAAATCTTAACTTTGGGAGTGGAAGGGGTTAGTTGGTGTACTTGATCAGAAGTGATTGGAGGGAGGGAGGGAGGGAGGGAGGGAGGGAGGGAGGGAGGGAGGGGAGGGAGGGGCAGGAAGAAGGCGCGGGGGAGGGCGGGCAGCAGGTTACTTACAGAGAAACAAAGAAAATGCAGATATGGCTTGGGTGCCTTTTCTTTTTGCTGATTGACACCAAAAACAAACACTCAAAGGAACCACAACCCCCGCCCCCCAAAAAATTGCAAGTACGGGGGCCCCGGGGGGTGGCCTGTTGATGGTCCCCTGTTCTGGTTTTTATGTTAATCTCAATTGTGTTCCCCCAAATTCGTTTTGAAAAGGGTGTTTTTGGGGAGCTTATTCATCGTTTTCGTTAAGGTAATCATTTGGCTAATTGCCCCCCTTGTTCATTGTTGGGCTGGGGGCCGACATTTTTTCATTTGAAAGAGGTAGCCCTTTTAGTAGTTTCAATGTTCTGTGTTGGCGGTGCATTTGTTTTGTTAGTATTTTCTCACTAATTTTCATTTATAGGTTAAAAGTTCAGTATAATTATAACATATAAGATTTTACATGTTATTACAGTATTATATTATGATTATAATTTCAGTTCAGGATAATAATTTAATTGATTTGTCTTACTTCTTTCATACATCATTTTAAAACAATATTAACATCTCTCACTGTATTTTGAACATTAAACTTTTTACTTTCAATAAATAATTTGAGATTTTCTTTAACATCTTCTCCTTTCTCTTGACTATAACCCAACATCCATAATATATCATCAATCATTTCATATTTTCTTACTGATTTTAAGAAACTGTTTAACATAATCGTAAGGTGGTATTTTATTTACAGTTAGAAATATTAACATCTCATCTTCCACAGTTCTATTATGTATTCTTTTTATTCCCAACACACATTTGGTTAAAAAATGATTATCTCTCCAATTTTTACAAATTTTACATATGTCTTCTTCACCATCCATTGAATAGTTAATAATATTCTTCACTATTTCATTAAGTAAACTCAATTTATACAATTCCATATTTTCTTTTTTGAAGTGACAACAATCATAGCATTTTTATTGATATAATTATTGATTTCATCACCGTTCATTTTCCTCTTAATATAAAAGGTAATATTTCTTTAGGTAGTTTTGGCTAGGGGTTGCTGGTCGGCTGGTCTGGGTTTCCGGTTTAACTTAAATGTCTTAACCTTCTTGTTAGGTTATAGAACAATGTTTAATCATGTTAAATATTATGATTAAACCATGAAATCATTGTTTCTGTTATGTATAAATTTCAAATGTAATATGTTCTATGGTAATGATTTCGTTTCGTTTCATAGTCTGTGTTATTTCTTCAACTATTTTTTCAATGTAAAATTGTAATGACGCTCTACTTGATATCTTATTCTGTTTAGATGATGAATAAGAACGACAGTTGCAAATATTATTATTATACATAATTTTTGAACTAACTTCTATTCCAACCTTTATTTCTTCATCATGCTTCATCATTCTTAATAATTCTTTTGGTGGTTTCAACGCATATGAAAGCGCTTTATCACCTTTCAAGCATTTATTGCTAATCAACGCATAATATCTACTTTCTCCTACTCGTCCAGTGTAAATAAACGGTTTCCATTTCCTTTGTAAGACCCTTAATGCTTTACACTGCTTTAGTCTTTGCCACCCTTCATTGCCAATCATATAAGAAGCGATGTTTAACAATGTTTCCACAGGTAAGCTAGCACAATTCTCAACCAAAAAACTATTCTCCGACATTTTACCCTCACTCATTTTCCTCTTAATATAAAAGGTAATATTTCTTTTTGTAGTTTTGGCTAGGGGTTGCTGGTCGGCTGGTCTGGGTTTCAGGTTTAATTTAAATGTCTTAACCTTCTTGTTAGATGATAAAAAACTAGGTTTAATCATATTATAATTGAATAGTATCATTAAACTAAATCGCTCACGCTTTCCATCCACCTATTCCATCCCACCAGAATTCAATAATTCGCATCTGTTCATCTACTAGATTGTCTTCTTTGTTTAGTTTCCGTATCGCTCCTGATAAGATATAGTGGTTAATAATCATTGCTTTAAACTTTCCATCTCGGTTTAACTTTTTACCGCAGTCTTTTATGACGTCTTCGTCTGTTAGGTTTTCATACATTTCTTTCATGATGTCAAACCTAACAAATGAGTATATGGTCATCAAGTTTAATCCACTCTTACCCCTAAACCTGTTAATGACATCTTTCCAGAATTCTTCGTTTTCATCAACTGGTGGTAAAGGGTGTCTTTTGATGAAATCCTCTATTTTGCTCCACTCTTCTACTAATTTCATTGTACAACTGTCAGTCTCATCATCTTCTTCGTCTGATAGCGTCAAGTTTGATAAATCAGCAATCACTCCGGCATTTTCTAAATTCAAGTCCTCTAATCTTATTTCAGCCATATTTTCACTTAATATTATAAGTTAATGTTTCTTTAAGTAGTTTTTTATTTTATATTAAGGGGCGGGGTTTATGTTGATAAAAGTATTTTCTAATGAGATTAACAAAAGACCAAGTAATCAGAAACATCTATTACGACTTAGACGAGGGTTTCGGAAGCACACAAGCGACACACAAGAAGGCAAAGGAAGAAGACCCAACAATAACATTAGACGATGTAAAGTCTTTCTTAAAGAAACAACCAAATAAACAACTCAAAAGTTATAGAGGTACTAATTCCTATACCGCTCCATTCGCACGATTTGAATATCAAATAGACATAATGCATATGTCACCTTTAGCAAAAGACAAGAACGTTCCACACTATGCTTTAGTCGTGATTGACATCTTCAGTAAATTAGCTGATGTAATACCGATGGAGGAAAGAGACGGAGAGCACGTTTTGAAGGCGTTGAGATCAAGTTTTAAAAGATGGGGTATCCGATGTCCGTGTATTCTGATGACGATGGCGCGTTTGCAACTAAAAATCAAGTTCAGGATTTCTTGAACAGTGAAGGAATAAACCACATCGTCACGAAGACCCACGCAAATGTAGCCGAGCGTTTTTTAGAACGATGAAAAACAAAATTCACGATAGAGTTAGGTTTAACAACATGAAATGGACCGACGCCCTAACGCCAGCATTGAAACAATATAACAACACATCACACTCATCAACAAGGATGACACCGTCCGAAGCACACAAGGACGACAATCTTAAACTACGAGAAAAAAACAAAAGAAAGTATCCCAGAATAGAGGAGAACGACAAGGTAAAAGTATTCCAAAAGAAAAGGGGCAATTTACACCGACAGAAAGGAGTATAACTCTAAATGGTCTAATAAAATATTCAATGTTGATAAAACTGAATATGATATTATGGGTAACAAAACTTACAAAGTAGCAGGAATAAACAAACCGCTTTTGAGACACGAAATTTTGTTAGTTAATGATTAAACGAATTTCTTGGTGTCTTCTTTATACTTGACTTGATAGTAATGCAGACTTGATTGTTTAGGTTCTTTTATGACTTTTCATTCAGTTTTTTAACATAAATGTTTGTTTCGTTTATTTTTGTATTCGCTACTGTCTCTATCTACTTCTTTTGCTTGATAATTGTTATTGTTATTATATATAAGTTTAATATTCATGCTCTTTAAGATTTTAAGTATGTTTTCATTTTGCTCCAACACTTTTTCTAATCTTGGAAACAACAACTCCAAACTACTGTCAATGTTTGCTAAATGTTCCTCCATATATATACATACTATATTATAAAACTAAACTTTTAAATCTACTCTTTAAATACTATTTTTTCATCATTTCACGTATAGTTTCCTGTGTTTCCGTATCACCATTATCGGATGGCGATGCATGTCTTCCCCATTTGTTTTCAATATTATGAACATCTGTTTCTAAGTTTATACTGTCTTTAGTTTTGTCAATATTCATTTTCTTGTCATTTTTACTTATTTTGAAACTTGTTGGAATACACGAACATTTACCATTTCCTTTCTTTTGTATTTCTAATTCATTTTTCATTTCTAGCATCTTTTTACACATCGGACAAGTAAACTCAATAATTGATGTTTCTTTAACAATTCCTTCATCACTTGAAAAAACAACTGGCTCGGTCTTATTCTTTTTGCTTTTTTTCCTTCCCATCTGTATTAATATTTATATTTTTATTATATTGTATTCCTTACGTAATTAATTCTAATGAATAATAACAGCATTTTTGGTTTTATTATCAGTTATGACAACTTGTTCTATTTTCTCTACTTTATCTATTATATCAATATAATCTGAATAACTTCTATTCATATAAAACAATAAATATAAAATATTTCCCAAATAATAAAACCTTGATATTTTTTATGTCTGATGTTCCAATAATAAAACCAATAAACATAACTGATTACGATGTCACTCAATCTAAATATGAACATGTACCAAAACTACATGTCACTCAATCTAAATATGAACATGTACCAAAACTACATTTTCGCTCAATTGTTGTTGCTTCATCAACGGGTGGAAAAAGTTTTAATCCAAACCCTTATCCTAAATGTTTATAGGGACTGCTTCGCTCGTATATTCATTTTTAGCCCGTCTGTTCATAATGACCCTACCTTCGTTGAAGTCAAGAAATATCAAAAATATGAAGGTTGATGATGAAAAGAAAAATTATACTATGACACCTACCAACCTGAAGAACTGGAAGAA